CCCTCTCCTCAGATACATCATTATAAAAATTTTTTAGCGGGAGAGTATAGTATATATATAGTTATTAATTTTTTTGTATGGAGGTACTGGGATTGAACCCAAGACCTTGTGCATGCTAAGCATGTACTCTATCACCAAGCTATACCCTCCCGCCAAGACAGCCACTTTTAATTCTTTTTGCTCTTTCTTCTGGTATTTATCTCTGTATTTCCAAATGACATGCTTATATTATTAATTTTTAATTTATTGTTTTTAGAAAGTATCAATAGAATTCCTACTCTGGAGAATGAGACTGGCTTCTCACATGATGCTGTCTGCCCACCATCTTCCCAAAGTAGTTCTGTCATAAATTTTAGAAAAATTGAAATTCAGTATTTCCTCTAGTATATTTAGGTAAGTATTGTTCACTTCTTAGCTAAATATGGTATGCTGTGTTTCATTTCCTTTCTGTCTAAATGTTTCTTTTATTCTTAATAATTCCCTTGTTTTTCTATCAATCAATTCTTTTTCTCAGCAGTAGTTTTTACAAATATGTAGACAACCTGGCAGTTCTACTGCCCCCCGACCCTGGGTCCCTCTTTGCAGCCTCCTTCTCCCCTGCAGACCAGACCACCTGCGCTCCAGGTCTGAAGCAGTGGCCTGGGGCTGACTGCCCTTCTCCTGGGTGGAATTCTGTTTCCAGAAGTCTTTGGCTTACTCTTTGATTTTATTGGCACACAACTTGCAGCTTCCTAGAATGGGTGGATGGGAGGTAAACCACCTGAGTCCTTCCCTGTCTAACTCTATCTCTTTTCTACTTTTGCTAGGTTTTTAAAGTCGAAAACCAGTTTCTTTCAGAAATTTTAAGGCATTGTTTCATTGCTCCTAGCATCTGGTATTAAGAAGTATGATGCAGTTTTGATGAACTTTCCTTTCTATGTGACCTATCTCTTCCCTCTGAAAACTTTTAGGGTTTTTCTCCCCCTCCCTCTCTCCCTAGAAACCCCTCACCCCAATTCCAAAAACCACATTTGTGTGCCTTGATATGAGTTTGTTTATTTTTTAAATTCTTTGTGCTGAGCACTCAGTGAGAGATTTTTGTCTTAGTTCTGGGCTATTCTTCTACTCTTATTTCTTTTACGTTTCTCTCTTAGTTATTTTCTTCCTTCCTTTCTCTTTCTCTCTCCTTCCTTCCTTCCTTCCCTCCTTCCTTCCTTCTCCTTAATTTTATATTTTAACCTTGTTATTGAAATGTTAATTACAGCTATCCCAGTTTTTTAAATTGAAGTATAGTCAATTTACAATGTGGTGTTAATTTCTGACATGTAGCATAGTGATTCAGTTATACACACACACATATATATTCCTTTTTGTATTCTTTTTCATCAGCTATCCCAGTTTTCTAGATTTTTGTTGTGAAAAATTTCAAACTTATAGAAGAGTTTAAAGAATGGATACCCATATAGCCTACATCTAGACTGAACAGTTGTTAACATTTTGCTCTCTTTGTTTTATCTATCTATATATGTGTATATAGAGCTTGGTTTTTTGCTGAACCGTTTGAAAGAGTGTTGTAGGTATCATGACACTTTACACCTAAATACTTAGGAGTTTCCTTAGGCTACACCAGGCATCTCCTACGGACAAGAACAATCTCCTACTGACCATAGTACCACTATCACTAAGAAAATTAACCATTACTCTCTAATATTATTCAAGATCCAAATCCATATGCTAATTTTTGGGGTCTTTCCCCACATGTCTTTTATAGCTGCTTTTACTTTTTGAACCAGAATCCAATTAATGTTCACACATTGAAACTTAATAATTCAGTAATTGGATTAGGTGGTGTTGAAGTGAGAATTAGTGAACTGGAAGCTAGATCAGAAAAAAACCACTTGGAATACCACACAGAGAATCAAACAGATGGGAACATTTTTTTAAAAGGGGAAAAAAGAGGCTAAGATCTATGTGGAATAGACCAAGGTAAGTTCAGCATATATTTAATTGGAGGTATAGAAGAAGATAATAGAAAATATGGGGAGAATTAACATTTTAAGAGATTTTCTACAATTGACCAATGACTCCAGTCCACAGATTCAAGATCCCAGTGAATCCTAAGCAGGAAAAATATAAGGAAATATATGTTTAGACGCAACATAGTGATACTGCAGAATACCCTAGACAGAGAGAAGATCTTAAAAGCAGTCAGAGAGAAAAGGCAGATAGTCTCTTAAGGGATACTAATTAGAATGTCTGCTGATTTCAACAGCAATGGAAGCCAGAGGGCAGTACTGAGAATCAACCTAGGTCTAATTACTCATGAAAGCTACTTTAAGAGTGATAGCAAATTTCATACAGATAAAAATTGAAAATGCTTACTACAAATAGACCCCCTACTAAAGGAACTTCTAAACAATGCACTTTAGGAAAAAGTAAAATTATTCTAGAATGAAAATTCTAAGTCTCAAGAGGAACAGTAAACAAAGAAATTAGAAAATGTGTGTAAATCTAAGCAAATATTGAAAAATTATAATATTTTCTAATTTTTAAGTTTGAAAAATAAAGATAGAGCTAAAATTCTGAACAACAATAGCATATTAGGAGTATTTCAAGTGCTCTAGGATCCTCATTATTTGTGAGAAAAATAATGTTATTGATCAATTTCAGGCTTTGTCAAGATAAATATGTATGTTAACAATTCAGGGCAACCACTGAAAAACTAGAGATAGTAACTTCCAAACTAGTAGAAAGGAAAAAAAAAGAGAGAAAGCACTTCTTAATCAAAATTTGGGGGGGAGGATTAGATTTACATACTTGTTTATTTAAATGGAGATAGTGGGGATTAAACCCAGGACGTCATGCATGCTAAGCATGCACTCTACCACTGAGCTATACCTCCCCCTCTCTTTTTAATCACATTTTTTAAAGGACATAAAGAGGAGAATAGGAGCATTTCAAAAGCAATACAATCAGAAAAGTTGTGGTTAAGCTGATAGACATAAACCCAAAGTATATCAGTGCTCATAATCAATGTAAATAGACTAAAATCTCCAGTTAAAAGATGAAAGTTTACAGATTGGCTTTTAAAAAAAGCTTTTATAAATGGTTTATAAGAAACACACCCGAGACATCAGGACATAGAAATGTTGGAAGTAAAAGAATGAAAAAAGTATATATCAAGCAAAAACTTGTCCCCCAAACTGTTGTACCCACATTAATATCCAAGATGATTGACTTTAGACGGGGAAAAAAAAAGCTTTTTTTTTAAGAGATGAAGGTATTCACTAAAAATTCCTAGAAGAATAAATATTACCACTGACTCAAGAAGAAAACAATTTCAAATGATTCCATGATTATTTAGGCATTTGCATCAATAAATAAAAATCTTCCCTTAAAAAAAACACTGGCAAAATTCTACCAAGTATTTAAGAAATACTGTTTTCATCTTATACAATCTCTTTCACAGAACAGAAGAAAGAACTTTCCCTACTCATTTTAGGAGGCTAATCATAACCTTGATACCAAAATGGGACAGCACCAGAAAGGGAAATAATGTCAGTCTCACTAATGATCATACATGCAAAAACCTAAATAAAGGATTTGTAAACCAAAATTCAGTGGTATATAAAAAGACAATACATTCTAAGTTTATTTTAGTCTAAAAATGCAAGGGGTCAATATTGGAAAACTCTTAATGTGATTTTGTATGTTAACTCTTTAAAGAAGGAAAATCACATGATTTCCTCAATACATGCAGAAAAAATATTTGATAAAGTTCAACAACAATTTACGATTTAAAAGAAACTTAGCAAAGAAGGAGTAGAGGGGAACTTTCTTAGTGATAAGTTGTTTCTACAAATAAATCTATAGAAAATCTATTCAGCAGTTAAACATTAAGAATATTCCCTTTAAAACTGGGATCCCGAGGAAGATGCCTCCCACCTCTTTAATTATTAAAGTTATGCTAGAGGGGTTACCTAGTATAATAAACCAAGAATTAGGCTGCTGAATACAGTTGTGCGTAACGTACTGGACAGCCCTGCCATTATTTGCAAGTAACTTAACCATCTGTACAGAAACATAGACTCTATAGACAAATAACTTGGGATTAACAATCAAATTATTAGAATTACTAACAGTTTAGTATATATACTGGATATAAGAGAAAAGGTCAAAATGTGCATTTATGTCTGAGAAATGGAGTTCAATTTTAAGAAAGATGCCATTTATAAAAATAACAACAACAACAGAAGATTCCTGGGAATAAATCTGACAAAGGATGTTCAAGACCTTTATCAAGAAAAAAATTTTTAAAGTTAATTAACAGATACTAAAGAAAACCTGTTTAAACAGAGAGACATCCCTTCTTTGTGGATAGGAAGACTCACTAATATCAAGGCATGCGTCCTTCCCCTATTGATTCAATGAAATCCTGGTAGAAATCCCAACAGGATTTTTTGGTGAAACATAACACCCTGTTTCTAAAACTTAAATGGAAAGGCAAGTAGCCAAATATATCTAAAACAATACTGAAGAAGAAAAACAAGTTGGGAGGACTTGATTTACTGTTCAAGTTGAAAAAGACAAATGACTCACTAGAAAAATGAGCAAAAGACATTAACAGGTATTTTATGGACAGCAAGATAACAAATGATCAAGAAATACATGAATTATGAAAAGATGCTCTGCCTTATTCACCAAGTGCATCTTCCCATACATTTCTTGGCTACTTCTGGCCCTGCCCCTCCCGTTTTCGGCATTATGCTGCTGAGTTATTTCAGCTTGTTCCCCATGATGTCTAGAATTCTGTCCCTGTCATGACCTTCCAGAGGAGCTGCTGTCTTGTGGGATATAACGGGAGACAGTCCTAAAAGTTGTTTATAGGATTGTCACTTTCACCAAAACTTATGCTCCCCTACCTGCACTCTAGGATGGCCCTGTCATGATTCTCTGGGGAGTAGAGGAGGGCTGGCTCTCAATTGGATGCCTCATGTTGCCTTTCAATTATCATCATCACTATTTATTGACTCATTGTGCTAAGCAAGTCATATACAGTATCTAATTTAATCCTTACAATTCTATGAAAGTAGGAATTTTCATTTTCTTTTCACAGGTGAGGAAACCCAGGAGACCCAGGAGCAGTCAGTAACTTGTCTGATGTCACATTGGTAAGAGGTGAAGCTGGGATTTGAATCAAGTTTCGTTTCGTTTCCTTCCTTCCTTCCTCCCTCCCTTCCTCTCTTCCTCTCTTTCTCTCTCTCTTTCTCTCTCTCTTTCTTTCTTTCTTTCTTTCTTTCTTTCTTTCTTTTTTTCTTTCTGAGGGGGGAGGTAATTAGGTTCATTCATTTATTTATTTTTAGAGGAGGTACTGGGGATTAAACTCAGAGCCTTAGTGCATGCTAAGCATGCTCTCTACCACTTGAGCTATACCCTCCCACCCTGAATCAAGTTTCTTTGAGTTTAAAACCTGTGCACTTCATCACTGTTATGCTCCTGTCTTCTGCTCCTTATCATGAATAGTAATTGCTCCCGTACCTTGAGCACCTACTAGCACTGTGGATACTAGCTCCAAACAGGCGTGTGATGAGATTATCATTGTCCGCATTATAGAAGAGAAACTCGAAACTTGGAAAGTTTATGTGACTTACAAGGGGCAGAGCCAGGGTTCAGACCAAGTCTGGTTCTAAATCCAGCTCTCCTAACCCCTCTGCACCATGCCCCCAGTTCTTCCTCTTTGTAACTAGCCCAGTGATCCCACTTCTAAACTGTCTGACAGAAGATGACACTGAGACAGATTAGCAGACCTCCTCCAAGCTGGGTTCACTGGAATGATACCATCCCTGAAGAAACGGCACAGTGACTGGGCCCTAGGCCCGGGAGCAGAGGGCTCACTGTGCACAGCCCCCTCCCTCTCATCTCACACGGCAATGGAGTAACTTCTATTTTGTGCCAACCTAGGATTTCTTTTCAGAATTAACATAGGTCAGGTTACCCCCTGGTTGGGAAGTTACACAGGGTAGAGTGTTAAATATAGAGGCAGTGGGCACATGGAAGAGTCATCAGAGCAAGAGACCTCTGGTTGTCACCACAGGTTGTCAGAAAGCTTCCGACTTCAGAGTGCTGATGTAAGGGCCAAGCCCTGGGCCCTGGGAAGTCAGTGGTCAGCTGTCCTCCACATTTCATTCCTTTTCTTTAACTCCAGTTCACTTGATCTTAGCCAAAAGGCTGAGAAGCGATCTTTAACTCCAGTTCAGACTAAAAGGAACCAAGCTCCTTAAAGAAATGATTCGTTCCAGGCCTAGAGCAAGAAATGTGTAATATGAGCCTGGGACTTTTTGTCGTGTCCAGAAAACAAGGAAGCTACTGAGAATTAATGGGGTCGTGTAAAATGATTCAGGCAGCTTGTAGGAGGCTCCAATTGTCCAAAGATGGGACAATTTGAACATCAAAGAGAATAATGACTACAGTGGATTAAAATATGTTGCAATGCTTCCCACTAATCACACTGTTAATAGGGTGTTATTTCAAGCTGTGATACTTAAGAATAGAGAGAACGTAGGAAGACAGTCAGTTCTCCTTATTCATGGTGGTTATGTTCTAAAAAGTCACTGTGAACTCTGAATTGGTGAATACTGAGCCATTGCACCTGGAGGAAATTCAGCATTAGATTCCTGTGAGTCGCTGGTCACAATATTTTCATCAACCCATCAATGCACAGGCTTATTTTGTGTGTTTCTATTTAAAGACACCTTATTTAATATATACTATTAGTTCACATTGAACTCACAGCACCATAACTCATGCCCAAATGAAGCTTATCTAGCACATGTATTTTTCTCCCTAAGGCACATCATAGCCGTCCTGCACTTAGGACCACTAGACAGCACTTCAGCATGTGGGGGACATTTTAAACAGAGAAATCACCAACAAGTGCAGAATGTGAAAAAGCGTGACACCAAACAGACTATGAGAGGACACATGTTTAATGGCCTGAGAGCTGAAACCAGAAGGCAGGGGGTCACCTTGTCTGACTTCAGCTGGGACGTGCACGTAGGGCAACTCAAAGTTTTCACTGCCCTGCACGTTCCTGCAGCTGAGTGGAGAGGAGAGGCACTATGGATATTGATTTAGGGGTTACAAATAAATTTCAGTGAGTATGTGAATTCACAAATACAGAATCCACAAGTCCTGAGGATCGACTGTACATGGATCACAGCACTGGCATTCCCAGCGCTGGGAAAAAAATCACAGCTATTGGGTAAAGGTAGAAGAGTTTTATGACTATTAGATCTGAAGCAACTAAAGGAAGGATGGGCATTCTTCATGAGTAGGGAGAATTACTGTATAGAGGAAATTGGCCGACTCTGTTTCACTATCTTCTGGATCAGAGCCAGATATAATGTGCTAAAATTGTGGCTGGAAGAGTTCTGGCTAGAAATAAGGATCAACTTTCAGACTGTGAATGGTATGAACTGCAGGTTAATGAAGGAGATAGGGCATCTGCTTCCCCTTCAAAACCTTAATTAACATCAGGAAAGAAGCGCATCTTCCTGGCATGGTGGAAAGTAGTAGTTCCCGAACATTTACAGCCCTATGATTTATAAGGAGCTTTTATAGCAGTTTTTATACTGCTATATAGTATATAATCTACATATAGATTCCTGGTGTTCTGCAGGTATATAATAAACTTCTGAAAGTTCAGATGGTGATTATTTAAACCTGAAGGTTGGATGAAAATGGTAAAGCAAGTGTCAGCTTCTCTTAAGCAGAACACTGAAGCCTCGTGGTGTTTTGGAGATCTTGAACCCCTGCTTCACAGCCTCTGAGAGGGCAGGGCCTCCTTGCCCCCACTCCCGGCAGTTTACTTTTTTTCTGCTTCTCTCTTTCCCCATGCCTGTGCTTTCTTTCCACATTCTGACTTCCGGCTGTGCTGGCTCAGTCCTGCCTGTGTAAATCAAGACAATAACTTCCGCCCTTTACCGACAAAAGTTACACACTTGCCTCCGGCCTTTCACAAGTTCATCAGTAAAGATGTCTTTGGGAGTCAGGTCAAGGGAAAGGGTGACACTGGCGTGTGTGGCCTCCTGCCCTGTGGCTCCCCCCACCCCACTTTGGTTTCTGTTCTAGCTCTCCTTCCTCTTGTAAGTAAATCAGTAATTGTTTTTCTTTTCTCCCCCTAGAAAACCATGTCCAGCCCCTTTTCTGTAATTACAAGACTCTTCCTAATTTTTCCTTATGCGTTTCCTCTTGAAGAGACAAGCCGAAGCTTCAGCCATGCTAAGGATTCACATGCAAGCACATTTAGATAAATACGTGTAAAATATCAAAGAGAATTCTGTAGTGGTAACAAGACCTAACCTGAAGAACGTAATGGTTTGTTTTATTTTTGAATTTTCTCTGATGTGACAGCTTGGGACAAGGGAGAGGTTAGTTCTGCCTGGATGGTGGGGACTTGAGAAGCGGCAGGAGAACAGGTCACGCAGACAGCAGCAAAGCCTGGCTGGTGGGGTCGGATCCAGGCCGACAGGCAGCCTGGGAAAAAGAGTCCAAGATGTCACATGTATTGTCCATACATCTAATCTTGGTTTCTAAACCCCAGAGTTAGATAGATTTCATTGTTAAGAGAGAGGGTTCTAAAGCCAGATTGCCCGGGTTCCATTCCCAGCTCCACCCTTTACAAACTGAGAGATCTGAGCAAGGTATTTATCCTCTGGAGACTCAGTTTCCTCATTTGTAAAGTGGGGACAACTACAGTACTTACCTGCCAGGGTTGTTGTAAAGATTAAATGAGTTAATACATGGAAGCACTTAGAATAGTTACTGTCACGTGGTGAGTTCTCAGTCAGGACTAGCTGTTCTCATTACTATCAGCCAGTAGTAGTGGCAGGTGGCCCAGGACCTCTGCAGGACTCCCCACAGGGACCTGCCTCTGGAAAACTTGCCACAAGGAGGAGCAGGTCGTTTGTTCCCATGAGGAAAAAGGAAGGAAAGGGTTGGGCTTTGCAGGTCAGGTTCTCTTTACAAACCCTGCCCTCCCCGGGGGGAGGGGAGAGGCTAGGAATGTTGTGCAACAGCAGCCCCCACCACGTGGAATGAAACACATGTTTCCCCTACACCTGTGCCCAGCGATACTGGGCAAGAGTCATCAGTCTCCCAGAAGACTTGTTCTAGAGCCGTTCTTTTCTGCACAGGGGTCTGTCATCAAGAAAATTTGGCTTAACGATTGGGAAGTAGTGCATGGTTTGCTTTCAGATCCTAGAAATAGGTGATCTAAATAAAAGCTAGAGGAATCAGATTGTTTGGCTTGGAGACTCAATGCGTGATGCCCCCTGTTAGAGGAGGAAAGGCAGTGAGGCCGCTCGGGTTCATGAGTGAGAAGGGGTCACAGGAGGCACCAGGTCTCCTTTTAAGAGGCAAAGGTTGAACGTGCAACCTGTTAACGTCACTAGAATCGTAGCTGGCCAAATGATGGAGGGGATACTTCCCCCTTTATCACCATCATCATCACCACCTGATTATAATGAGTAATACTCGACTGTGAAGAACAATTCAACTTGGTTTTCAGCGATGCTGTGCCTTCGATAGTAAAAGCATGAAGCGCCTCTCATGGGACATAATCCCATTTTCAGACTGTCCAAGCCTAACAAAGGTCACTACATCTGTGGAGTGCATGGAAGACTCATGTCTCCAAGAAGTGCTTTACACTCCAGGAAGTTCTGTCGTCATTGCTATTTTTCGATTTCATTCAACGTGCTGGGTGATGCAAGTAAGTCACATGTCCTTTCTGGACCTTAATCTCATCACCTGTGTGTGAAGGGGCTGGACCACATCTCTGAGAGATTCCAACTCTGACCGTCTCTAATTCTGTATTCTACTTTATGCTAATGAACTCAGCAGGCAGGGGTTCGCTAGTCTTAACCCCAGAGGAAACAGAGACATTTTAGCCAAGAGTGGGCTCTGCTATCTGGACCTTTAGTGACTGTAGAGAATCCAGGGTTTGGGTGGTGATGGTGGTGGGAGCACAATTTGGGACAGGCCACCTGGTGCCCCTCATGTCACACTGACATCAGCAGTGTAAGTTTCAACAACAACCGAGAGCCTAGAGCATAACAGGCCCTTAGAACGTCTTTATTAATGCGCAGCTCTAGCTTTTAAGACCAAAATCCACTGGCGATGTCACTAAAAGCATGATTTGTAAATGTTTTGGTCTTTTTCTCTTCAGTGCTATTAGAAAGGACTTTCGGGAACTCCCAGCCTTGGAGTGCAGGGCTGTCCTTATCTCCCAGCGGTCAGCCCCTCCGATGTGGGACTTCATCCACCACCAGCAGCTGAGTGCCCACTGTGGGCCTGGCGCTTTGCTGGGTGAGGGGGTCCAGAGATGAGCAGGAATGCTCCCTGCTCTCAGCCGGCGGGAGCATATGTGGGGGGGCTTGCAGGAAGTGACACCTGAGCAGAGTTTTGCAGTGAGGGTAAGGAAGAGCAAATCAGGTGGAAACAAGAAGGGCATGGCAGGCAGAGCACGAGCACAGGCTACAAGTCCCAAGACGATGGAACGAGAGAGCAGCCGAAGGTGTCGGGGTGAGGGGGCCACAGACAGGGAGGCCGGGGCCAGCTGGAGAGGGGCCTATAGCCCAGGTAAGGCGTGTGGACTTATCTGAAGGCATGGGGAGGCGGGGGAGAACTGTGTCGCTAAAGATATTTCATCAGGGAAGTGACGTGTGCTCCTCTGCACTCTGGCAGCAGGGCAGTGACTGAGTTGGAGAATGAAGTTCTTTCCCGTCCTCTCCTCTAAACCGAGGGCCCTCAGGATAGTCCTGACAGAGCCGACAGGAGAGGAGAGGAGCTCTTGTGGAACACACAGGGTGAGAACAGGGCTGTTGGATAGTTCATCTCAATTAAAAAGAAAAACATGGCTAACACATAGCACTGGGCCTCAGTTTAACCTGATTAAGCTAATGAATAGCCCTGGGGACAAAATGGTTTCCTCAGGACGGTTTCTCTCCTTGCCTTCTGATCCCGTACCGCCCTGATCGTGGTCTCCTGACAGTGCCACTCTTTTTCAAAGCCTGTCTTCCCCTCAGGACTCTAGGCTCCAGAAGAGCAAGCACTTTTGTTTTTCTTATTTATGCAGTTTCTCAGTTGCTTTCCTAGTTTCTGGCTCTAGTAGGTGTTCAATAAATATTTCTTGAATTAAGAACAAGAGTCGTCCTGGAGGTATGATGAAAGAACAGAGCCAGGGGAATACGACTTTCCTCCTGGTCGATCACTGTAATCGGAACCCAGAGGCTGGAAGAGTTACTAAAAGAGAAAGGGCTTTAATCCGGGCTGTCACGCGCACCCTGGATAGACTTCACTCTGGTTGCCTTTATTTCCTCTCTTGTGAGGTGAGGTAGATGGATACAAACAATTGCTAGGATTTCTCCTTCTAACCCTAACATTTTGCGTGAAAAAGTAGTCTCTGCTGCCACTCTCCTCGTTCCTGGGCTCTGTATTTCAGAAAGACATGGCTACCGGTAAACTAAAAAGAACATCATGATTTTAGCCTTTCCGTGAGAAACTGAACGAGTCTTACAAAGATGCAAGATACTTAAACAGAGGAGGTAGATCTGGACTGCCCTCCTGGTCAGAATTTTGGGAATTCCAGTTTGGAGTTTGTTCTGGGAAAGGAATATTTACTTTTATAGGATGAATGAAACTGAGTGCCAAATGCTTTTATGAAAAGCAAGATTTTGTTCAGAGAGAGACAGAGCAGAGAGGGAAAAGCAGCCCTGCCTCCCCTGGGGACAGAGCCCGCGGGGCTGCCGCCAGGGCCCTGCCCCCAGTGCCCGTGTGCACCGCGGAGCTGCGGGGAGGCGCTGAGGGCGAGGGTTTCTCTGAGGGGAAAAACCCAGCGGTGACCAGTCAGCTACTCACCGGAGGTCTCTTCCACACGAACTGGATGGGGAACTTCTGGCTATAAAAGAGAGAGGTCTCATCCGGTGGGAACTCAGGATCCACGTAAAGAACCTTCTTTTCTAGACATTTCTTGTGAAGCTGCTCAAATGTCTTCTCTTTCACTCCGATAATGGGAAAATTGCGGCTGATGATGGCTGAGTAGATGCCACTTGGGTTTCCGCCCCCGGCCTCGGTGTTCTTGCCCTGGGCTGCTTGGGGGATTGGCCCCGGGGACCTGGGCTCAGCCCCTGTCTGAGGGGCCACAGACGCGCTAATGACGGTAGGCATGGCAGGCAGATCTGGAAGGAAAAGGGTTTTAAAGAAAACAAGACACAGCTACCTTTAAGGAAAGGAAGCAACTGCAAACGGGAAGTTGCAGTGATTCTGTCATCGGAGAGAAAAATGTCCACATCCAATTCAAAGTTTAAAGTCCATTGAGAGGTTGTCCAGCTTGTGCCTGTCTTAAAAACTGAGCTGTGATCTGGAAGCCACCAGTTTTCCTAAGGAAGGGGCACTAAAGGATTTCTACAGCAGTTCCTGCGTTGGGGGCTCCTGTCAGCAGCATACATGCCAGAGGGAGAGAAAGAAAGTGAGGGTTGTGTTTCAGTGGCCTGAAGAAGCTTGAGCCAGGAAAACCAAAAATAGGCATGAAGAAAGATCATGAGTATGAGAGCGAGAGAGAGGCTCGCGAGCAGCTAGACGGCATGGTTGAGAGAGGAGGACCTGGCCAGGGATGTCCCTGTGCTGCCGTTAAGTGCTGGTGGTGTCAGGAGATGAAAGGGGAATATCTGAGAGAGTTGAACCCTGAAAGTTAGCAAAGAATGATGGATGTGTTATTGAATCGGCAGTTATCCAGACTGTAAAACTATTGGCTCCCAATTAGTGGAGAACAATATCGAGAAAAGCTAGCAAGGGTGAATGTGAAATACTGGATTCTAGGAGAATATTCTAGGCATACTTGAGAACATGATTTTTACTTTCTAAAATTCAAGCATATCAGAACATTATTCAACTGGATTTGGCATCTCTTCTAAATGTTCTGGTGTCAGCGTTTGGTGAAACTGTCTGGGTGGAAAGTGCCACTCAGCAGAGTCCTCAGTTGAGAAAATCCCTGTGTCTCCTTGCCCACTTGACCTAGCCATCCCTTGTCTCTCCCCAACCCCTAAAGAAACACTGGGACCAGATCTTCTACAAAAAATGCACCGGAGTATATAGATTAATCAGGCGTGCCACATTAGGCATCTGAGTCAGAAGCTGGAATTGGATACCGAGCCTAGTTGGCTGTGAAGTCCCGGGATGTCAAACCCAAAGAGCTGGCTTCAGGGCTCTTAGATGAGACCAAAGTGGCTCTGGGGAAGGGAACTGCCTGCGTGGCCTCGCCCTCGTCTTCTACTGATGGTAGCTGCTACCTGGGCTATGAGGAGATGGCCGTATTCCAGATGTGGCTGAGTGGAGGCTAGTTTGCAGTCCTGCCTGTTTTCATGTGACCATCTCATCAGCCCAAGGCTAGAGGCTATGAGAGGTGGGAAGTGACCGCTGAAATAAAGAGTAATGCCAGGCTCTTGATCCCTGGGGTTGCAGCTTTGAGGAGCCCTGAACCTGCAGTTGCAGCTTGTAGGAACCATCAGCCTATTCTCCCATCCCTCTAAGGAAATGCCCAAGGATCTTTACTACTACTCTTGGGGAGGCAGAATAGAGGAGGGTGGCATCTGAAGGCTGACTGCCTAGGTTCAGAGTCTGGGCTGCTCACTGGCTGTGCCTGTGTAGCTTTAGGTGAGTTATTTCTTCCTATGTCTCAGTTTTCTCACCTATAAAATGGGTATAATGATAGTCATTCAGTTATTGAGTTGTAAAAATTAATCAAATTATGTACAGCATTTAAAATAGTGTCGGGATTGTCATAAGCACATAATAAGTGTTATTGTTAGGGATGAACCGAAGTTAATATGACTTTTGGGTTTAAGCGGGTTGAATGACAGTCACTCATTGGTACAAATCAGTATTCACTCTATGAACATTTACTGAACACCCTCCACGTGTACTGCTCTGGGATAGGGCCATGTGGTCAGTCTCAGTCAGAGGCATGCCTTTCTGCACTAAAAGAGCCTCTAAAAAGACTCACCCTCAAACTCACTAGTGGAATGGAAAGCAAGGGAAGGGGGGTGGTTTCCTTTCCCCACCATCATATGTACCATCGTATGTTTGAGTCCCAGCCCAGTGCTCTATATCACCTTGAAATTCACTGCACTGGCTTGTATCTAATGTTTCTGTTTACTGAGCTTCCTATTTTCCCACAAGACTATAAGCTCCATGAAGGTAGGAACTGGGTCCCCATTCCACCCTCAGGGTTAAGCACATAGAAGGCGCTTAATAAATATGTGTTGTATATCTGCTGAATGAAAATTCCCTTTGTGAGGAGAAATTTCTTTCAGTTCTTATTGCTTTGCCAATGCAATCAAAGTATCTTGGTTGACTTGCCCCTGTGGGAGGAGCTGTCTTCAGGCCACACACATGCTGACCATCTCGTTGTGTGATAGAGCTCAGCCTCTTGTCACAGTAGAATGGGAATATCCGACACACAGAGTGCACAGTGCTACTCATTTCTCCAGTTCCACCAATTGTGGATAAAACCCCCTTTCAGATTAGCATGTCCAAACTCAAGGTTCATACAACTGCACAGCTGTAGAAACTCATGTTATCGGTGAGAAGTTCAATCTGAGCCCATGAACAAAGGCAGATAATGAGCATGTAAACAGCTGCACATTTCAATTCCCCAGAAGCCTCTTCAAGGATAAAGAACTCATTTTTACAACATATTTCAGCCAAGATCATGCAATATCTGTGGCTGGAATGGTTGCTGTTGCACCAACAAGATAATTAATGATTGCATATCTCTTGTCTTCCACCAACATTTCTTTGACTCAGCACTGTTGTAATCAATGTATTTGCTTGTAATTAAAACACCCACCATTCATTAAGTGCCTAATGTGAGCTAGCCACTTCATTATAGTTTTAAAAACTTTTAATTTTAAACATACAGAAGTGTTGCAAAGATAGCACAGAGTTCCCATATACCCTTCGACAGCCTCCTCTCATGTTTACACCTTATATAACCACAGTACAATGATCAAAACCCAGGAATTAATATTGGTAAGATGCTATTAATTGAACTACAAGACATATTTTGATTTCTTCAGTGTTTTCATTAGTGGTTTTTTTCCCTTCTGTTACAGAATCCGAGCTGCATTACATTTCATTGTCTTGTTTCCTTAGAGCCCTCGAATCTCTGATGGTTCCAGTTTTTGTTTCTCCTGAATTTTGCAATTTTGAAGAGTACTTGCAGGTATGTTGCAGAATGATGTTGATGTGTTTTATTACAGGTGGTATCATCCTTGATTACTTGCCTAAGGTGGTGCCTGCCAGGTTTCTCCAAAGTCAAGTTACTGTGTTTTCCTTTCCATACATACGGAGTTTTTTAAATCTGTACAACAACCCTGCAGGTTTGATTAATCCCATTTACAACTGAGAAAACTTGAGATATCTGCTGTATTTTTCCAGCTAAGCCATGGGAAAGAAACTCACAGAAGTTTAGAGATCCTCTCTTTTCTGTGACAAAAGGGGAAATCAAGGCCTAGAGGGATTAAATGACACTCTGCCAGTTCACCAGAACCACACCAGACCTCAGGTGTCCTGATACCCAGTGAAGGAGTAAATGAGTGATGAAGACCAAATGTGAATTAGGCATAAGATCTCTGGATCCTTGCATATAAATAGTCAGGGCTTCCCTTCCCCTAGGTCTGATTGGAGTGGAATCTAACACCGTCAGCCCTGCAGAAAACAACTGTCAAGAAGCAGCTGTCTAATTCTGGCTGGCCTTTCTGTGGCTCTGCAGTCTTCAGCAAGGCTGGTCATAAGACAGGCGGATCTGATATCAGATGCCAATGTCTCCTTCATTTCTGCTAGAATGCGAGTTACGTGGCCTCCATTGTCTGTGGTTAATACGGCAGTCTGTTTCCAGTGGAGTTGCTGATGGCTTTCTATCCCCTGGGCTGAGAAGTTATTTTAGTCTAAAGTGCGTCCCCTCTCGGCCCCAAACCCCCACCCCCCAAATCACGCAGGGCATTCAGAGGGTTTGGTAGATGGAAATCTTTTATTTTTTTTTAACACTTTTTTATTGAGTTATAGTCATTTTGGCAGATGGAAATCTTAAAAGCAGGGTGGAATGCTTGATATTGTCACAGGAGTTCCATTACTAAGAAGGCTTTTAGGTAGAATGGTCAATGATGAGCTAAAATCCATTAAACTCCATATATTTACGTGTTCTGACAATGTTTCTGCTGCCTATCATTATGATACACTGATACTGAAAGAAATGTGGAAGAGTGAAGGAATTCTGCACACAGACCAAACTCTAGAATTTCAGTCTCCCCTACAGTTATAGCGATCTGATAGGCCGGTTTCAGTTAACCGGATATGAGGCTCAGTACAACTTTAAGGCAAATTCATGGTGACAAGATAGGCTTTCCACTCTAGGGAGCCTTTAGCGGAATGGCCCCATCTGGGAATGGCCCCATCTGGGACTGGCCCTGGTCATGCTGATGGACCAGGACCCTGGAGTTCACTTAGTTCTGAAATGAGCTGTACCCCAGAATATAATTGGTCGTGCAGGTCCTTTAAATGAAACCAGCCTCCTAGTACCTAGTCAAACTGGAACCTACATCCTGGGATCCCTCCTATAAGGAACTGACCACCCCAGGTCCACCGTAGTAAGGATCTGCAGGATGACTTAGACCAGGGGAAAGAAGGAAGGTGACCAAACTGGCCTTCCAAATGCATGAAGGACTTCCCCTGACCACTAGACAGCTCATCTGCCCTAAATAAATGCCTGCCATGAACACGTGTTCCATTCCCTTTCTTAGCGTGAGTACCCTCCTGAAGGCTTCCTGGTCAGCTCCTGCAGTCAGACATGGAGAAGCACACGTAGTGCTGCCACAGTGTGGGTGCTGCGGGGTCCTGGTGCTCCGAGGATGGCATCTGTGTTCCCTGAAGGAGAGGACTTGGCTTGGCCTGGCATTTCTCAGGTAAAGAACAGCTGACCTGGCGAAGATTCGGAAGAGGGCTGCTGCATCAGAAATAGAGGTATTTTCTTGTACTGGAGTTCATTCTCTACTCCGTCTGTTTCATCCTATTTTCCACACCACAGCTTATAAGCCTTTACAGTAATAGAAACCAAACATTTTAAAGCTATTAGATACTATGGAGATATGGCTCAGCACCTTTGTTTTTAAAATTGTTCCTTTGAAATAGTTTAAAACTTACAGGAAAGTTGAAAATACAGGATAAGGAGTTCCTACATAGCTTTCATCCAGATTCAACTGTAACATTTTAACACATTTTGCTGATTTTGTCTGTCTCTGTCTCTTTTTCTCATACATAAATTATTTTCTGAGCCATTTGAGAGTAAGTCTGAGCTAATGTTGGCCCATTACCCTTTCATATTTCCATGTGTATTTCCTAAAAACAAGGAAATTCTTCTCTATATAGTCAGTACAGCTCTCAAAATTAGGAAAATTACCATGTAATCAAAAGATTCCATTCAAATTTTGCCAATTATCCCAATAATATCCCTTATAGTTCCAGAATCCAACCCCAGATCACACATCTGCTGCCCTGTCTCTTAAGTGCCCCCTTCAATCAGGAACAGTTCTTATATTAGGCAATTTGTGGCTTACTTATGGTGCAAAGCTCAAATCTCAACTGATACAATGAAATGTGTCCAGGAGGAAATGCACAATGTTCACTATATCTGGAGGGAAGAGTCCTATGTGAGAAAAGTAAATCAGAAACAGATACATTCAATGCTCAATTTTTAATCAATCAAATCCATCAGACAACGAATTACAGCCAATCATTACTGAAAGCCAAGTATAATGGTACTCTGGCTGATACAAGATAAATATAATGTGCTCTTTTACACACAAGACAGACAAAACTGAAACATGGAGGGACCATCCCTGAGAATGCTCAGTAGAGTGCATATTATAAGTGGGACAGCATTTCAGAGAAGGGCAAAATCACTGCTCCTGGTAAAGGGGAGTGAGGGTGTCAGGGTAGTTGGAAAGGCTCTGTAGAGAAGTGGGATTTGAGTTGGGCCTGGATGGATGGTAGATGTGCATAGGAAGAGGGCAGGCAGTGGATACTGGGGCCCAGGGAACAGAAGGCACAGAGGTGGCACCCAGCAGGTTGCTAGGTGGAGGAAGCCTGATAAGAAAAGGTGCACGCTGAGGAGTGCTGAGGACACGAGGCTGCCCGAGCACATGCTGCGGAGGCAGGGAGTCCCTGGGGTCTCCAGAGCAGGGGCGTCCTGAGGGACTGGTCTAGTGTAATGTTCTGTCCCATGCCAAGCTGTGCCAGAGCCCGAGGCAAAAGTAAAACTCAGTAATATTGATCCTGTCATTTAAAATTTTGGTATTTTGTTCATCATGGATTTTTCATATTAATTTTGATTTTTAAAAATATTGCATTAAAATATTATTTACTTTGATTACTGTGACTTTTGGCATCACTTTAAATTTTGTGCCCAAGGCAAGTGGGCCTTGACCTTGCCTTACCCTTGTCCCAGTCCCGTGTTCTATTTCTGAAGTTTGATAGTGACATGGGTATTTATTTTATTATTATTAATTATAGCTTACTCATGTTACAAATATTCTTTGGTTAGTAGACAGTATTTAATAAAAACAATTACTATAAAGAAATTAGAATTTTAAGAAGATTAATTTGGAACTTTGAAGCCCAAAAGACATGACAGGGAAAAGAATCCTGAGTCGGTCTCTAGGGTAGACTAACTCCCTGTTGCTGCAGTGCATGCAGTGCATGCAGTGCAAGCAGACAAGGGTCATTTTGTCCAGGTCTAAGTGGGTAAAAGAGAACTATGGGGGGTGCCAGGGGCTGTCACTTGGAGATAGGCCTCAAGCAGCTCAGCTGCTGTAGCCCATGTGTCTCTGCCACGTGGACTCTTCCACAGATCAGCCACACAAGGTAGGCCTGGCCCACCTTTCACATAAAACAAACCCACCCAGCTGTGCTCAATGAGAAGCCGTCACTGGACCACAGCGCTTACCACAGGCCATGGTCATAGGAGCAATGGAAGATTTGTGAACCCTATAAATTGTCTCAGGGCCACTTGCGTCTAGAAGAGGTGGTGTGTGATACGAAGAGTATTACTAATACATCTAAAAATGTAAAATCTGAAAGCTGTTGTCCATTAGTAACTGGTGACTAATGAAAGATTACTTTGAGCCAGAGAAAATTAGCATGCAGCACAAATGTCAAAAAAGTCCCCAGGAAAGGCCGAAAGGTGCAGGCCGCTCCCTGCGCTTGTTACCAGGTGCACTGCTCTGTCACTGGATGTGGACCTTCCAGTCAGCGCCAATGTTCAGCGAGAGCTTCTCCAGGCTCAGAGTGGACGTTTTGGCACAATATGTAAAAGCCACGGGCTGAGCTTTACCATCTAGATATCAAAATAGTAAAACGGAAAGTGTGATGAATGTCTAGGAGAGAAAAAATGTTTTCTTTGAATCTAAAATGTTTCTGTCTCTGTCATAAACCCTTATACCCTATATAGGAGAATCCAAATTAATAGCACGTGTACCCGTGGACTTCAAGGAATTTTTTAAACATGAAACACTCTATTGTTTTGAGTACAAGATTGGCTGAAAAGAAACTGTAAGGAACAAAGTGATTTATTCAACAAATTCAGTAGGTAAAAAGGATATATCCTATCCCGTGGCCTTTAAGGAACTCCATAAACATGAGTGGGGTTCTTCATTGTGTCAGATATTTACAGTTTAAAAAACATATTCAGAGAAGCTACAGTATTACTTCAAACCTCAGATAGTTTCCCTTAGGAAAATATTAACCGCTTACAGTGAGCAGAAGGACCCGCTGATGAAGACGAGCAGGATGGCCTCGTTCCCTCTAGATGCTAGTATATTCGGCCCCTGTCAGAAAGTGCGGGGCCCACTTGCCTAGCACGTTAAGTCAGTTTTAGGCTAATCATCTCTTCACTGCAGATACTTATATGTTTACAAAAACAAATGGCCTGTTTCCTCACCAGATGAGTGGGCGGTCACAGAAGACGGCTGCTTCTTGAGGCCTAGGAAAAAGATCTGCTCCACTACACACTTGCTGGGATAACGACCCCTCTCGTCGGCACAACTGGAATAGATACATCAAATGGCATCAGGAAAAGGAGAGGAACAGAGGTTTGGACTGGTTACCAGTTCACCATCCCAAGCCTTGTGAGTTCCCCTTCCATCTTTCCCTACAGAGATGTGAAACATAAAGATGTCACATTTACTAGGATAAAGAAATGGAAACAGATGACTCTGTGTGCTGAGGACTAGCTAACCAGTAGTCTCCCTCTAACAAGCCATTTGGAGAAAAATCACTTTTGGACACTGAAGTCCCAAATCTGGCTTGGACACTGTATTCAATTTGTAAGAAATCAGATAATGAAAGGCTGAATGGATGAATAAATGAGACTAATGGGAACTTAAACTAAATCCTTTTTAATTTTTCAGAGAGGCAAGGAAAGGAAGATAGAGAATAGAGAAGGGATGTTCATGGAATGATTGAAAAATACTCCTGGGGGACTCCAGACCAAATTCAGGGGTTCCTGAATTTCCCTCTTCTTACAGATGCACTGAATATAAAGCTATACATGGAGCAATTCCCTCTGAGAAAAATCCAGAAATGGAGTGACTCCTACACATTGGGTGACTGAGAAAGTACCTGCATCAAAACAAGTAGGAAAGACTGAGACACACTCTTGACATAACTTCCACCCCTGGCACAGTACCATACAATTGGTAAGGAATTCCCAACTACCAGCTTCTCCAAGAATTGTGAAGGGTTTTGGACCACACTTCTAGTGCCCCAGATTTTAAGGCTCCCATCCAAGGGATGAGCCCTCAAATCACTGAGCTTTGAGAGCCAACAGGTTTTGTGTTCAGGAGTCCCACAGGATTACAGTAAATAAGGACGCAGTTGTTAACACGCAGTGCTGTGCTGTCCCCCAGAGCTCTAGTGCAGAGGGAGCAGATGAAAACACTCGTCTCCTAGGTTCTCCCTGGAATGGTCTGACTGTATACTTTCCCAGCTACTGCCCGAGGGTTGCTTCTAATCAGCTTGCATATAGGTGCTGACTGAAATCTGCCCCTTTAGGACACTGATAGATCTCAGCACACCTGCAGCTACTGGGAGTCACTAAGAAAATGGATGGCAGCTCAGATAATCACAAAGGTCTGAGAAGCAACAAGCAGCTCAAGCCAGGCTGATTGCAGAGTTCATACCCTACATGAGACCAGTCTGTTAAGACTGGAAGAGGTGGCTGGGTTAGCTAATGTGAGAAACTGACATAAAGTGTCAAGGAAAATGAAACAGGAGAGTATGTTCCAAACAAAAGCACATGATGAATCTACAGAAACTTTCATGAAATGGAGGTAAGTTATTTTCCTGATAGACAGTTCAAACTAATGGTCATAAAGATGTTCACCAAGGTGAGAGAGAAATAAGTGAACAAGGTGAGAATTTCAGCAAAGAATTAGAAAATATTAAGAAGTACCAAACCAACCATAGAATTGAAGAATACAGTAAATGAACTGAAAAATTCAATAAAGGGTTTCAACAGCAAACTAGATCAAGTGTAAGAAAGGATCAGTAAACTCCAAGACAGGAGAGTGGAATTCATCCAATCAGAAAAGCAAAAAGAAAGAGAATAAAAAAGAATGAAGATAGCTTAAAGGACTTATGGGCCACTATCAGTGGACCAATATATGCAGTATAGGGGTCCTAGAAGGAGATGAGAAGAGAAAGGGGTAGACAGTTTATTCAAAGAAATAGTGGCTGAAAATTTTCCTAAGCTAGGGAAAGAAACATATCCAGATCCAGGAAGCCAAATGAATACCAAGTAAAATGACTCTAAAAAACCCACATCAAGATACATTATAATTAAATTGTCAAAAGTTAAAGACAAAGAGAGAATCTTAAACGCAGCAAGAGAAAAGCAACTTGTTATGTACAAAGGAACCTCCATGAGGCTCTCAGCAGATTTTTCTGCAGAAACCTTGCAGGTTAGAAGGGAGTGGAATGATATATTCAAATAAAAAACTGCCAATCAGGAATACTTTACCCAGAAAAGTTGTTCTTCCAAATCGAAGGAGAGATAAAGAGTCTTCCAGAAAACAAAAGCTGAAGGAGTTCATCACCACTAGACCAGCCTTACAAGAAATGCTAAATGGAGTTTTTCAGGCTGAAATGTAAGGATGCTAATTAATAACATGAAACTATATAAAAGTATTAAGCTGACTGGTAAAGGTTAATATATAGTTAAACCCAGAATATTCTAATGATGTAATGGTAGTGGGTAAATCACTTATTACTCTTCTGTAAAGGTTAAAAGACAAAAGTATTTAAAATAACTGTAACTAAAATAATTTGTTAATAGATACACAATATAAAAAGATACAGACTGTTGACATCAAAAACATAAAATGTGAGAGGACAGTGTAAAAATGTAGTTTTTTTTAATGTGTTCAAAGTTAAGTTGTTATCAGCTTAAAATAGGTTACTATAACTAAAAGATGTTTTATGTAAGCCTCATGGTAACCTATACTAAATACACAAAATATGGAGAGAAAGGAATTAAAGCATACCACTACAGAAAATCATCAAATTACAAAGACGAGAACGAGAGGAAGAAAGGAACAAAGCAACTAGAAAACAGCCAGAAAACAATTTTTAAAATGACAATAATTACTTTAAATGTATTTGGACTAAATTCTCCAAACTAAAAAGAGTGGCTGAATGGCTAAAAAAATAAGATCCAACTATATATACTGCCTGCAAGAGACTCACTTCAACTTTAGGGTGAAAGTGAAGGGATGGAAAAAGATATTCCATGCAAATGGAACCCAAAAGAAAGCAGGGGTAGCTATATTTATATCAGACAAAACAGACTTTAAGCCAAAGACTGTAACAAGAGACAGCAAAGGTCATTATATAACAATAAAGGGGTCAATTCATTAAGAGGTTATAACGTTTGTAAATATTTATTCACCCAACATTGGAGTACCTAAATATATAAAGCAAATATTAATAGATCTGAAAGAAGAAATAATTAGAAATACAATAGTAGGGGAGATCCAAATTCCACTTTAAACAACAGACAGTTCATCCTGACAGAAAATCAACACAGAAACATTTGATTTAAAATATACGTTAGACCAGATGTACCTAACAGGTGTACAGAGAACATTCTATTCAACAGCAGCAGAATACACATTCTTCTCAAGAACACCTGGAACATTCTCCAGGACAGATCATATGTCAAGCCAGAAAAACAACCCTTAACAAATTTGAGAAGACTGAAATTATATTGAGTATCTTTTCTCGAGTATCGATACACAATACTTTCATCAAGTATCATAATGGTATGACAGTAGAAATCAATTACAAGAAGAAAATTGGAAAATGCACAAATGCATGGAGATTAAATAACCTGCTCCTAAACAACCAATGGTCAAAGAAGAACTCAAAGAGAAATAAAATGTCTTGAGACTAAAATTAAAATGGAAATACAACATACTAAAACTTGTGGGATTCAGCAAAAGCCTTAGAAGAGGGAACTTTATAGCAAAATATGCCTCAATTAAGAAAAAAGAAAGATCTAAAATAAACAACCTAACTTTACACTTCAAGAAACTAGGAAAAGAAGGACAAACTAAGCCCAAAGTTAGTAGGAGAAGGAAATAACAAAGATCAGGAGATACAAAGGAAATAAAACAGAGACTAAAAAGATAATAAAAAAGATCAATGAAACCAAGAGCTGGTTTTTTTTTTTTGAAAAGATAAACAAAATAGACAAACCTTTAGCTAGACTCACCAAGGGAAAAAGAACAAAAACTAAAATAAAATCAGAAATGAAAAAGGGGACATTAAATTTGATACTACAGAAATACTAAGGATCATAAGCAACTACTACAAACAATTATACTCCAACAAATTCGCTAAGCTAGAAGAAATGGATAAATTCCTAGAAACATACAAACTACTAATATGGAATCATGAAGAAGTAGAAAATCTGAACAGATTAATTACTAGTAAGGAGACTGAATTAGTAATCAAAACCTCCCAACAAGGAAAAGTCCAGGACCAAATGGCTTCACTGGTAAATTCCACCAAACATTTAAAGAATTAATACTAATCCTTTTCAAACTCTTCCAAAAAAATTAAAAATGAGGGAACACCTCCAAACTCATTTTATAAGACCAGTATTGCCCTCATACCAAAGCAGCCAGGACATTAGAAGAAAAGAAAATTATAGAACAGTATCCTTGATGAACATAGGTATAAAACTCATCAACAAAATATCAGCAAACTGAATTCAATAGTTCATTAAAAGGATTATACACCATGATCAAGTAGGATTTACTGCCAGGATGCAGAGATGGTTCAACATATGCAATAAATGTGATACATCACATTAACAAAAGGAGGGATAAAAATCATATGATTATCTCAATAGATGAGAGAAAAACATGACAAAACTCAACATCCTTTCATGATAAAAACTCTCAACAAACTGGGTATAGAAGGAATGAACCACAACATAATAGATATCATTTATGACAAGCCCATAGCTAACATTCTACTCAGTGGTGAAAAGCTGCAAACTTTACCTTTAAGATCAGGAGCAAGACAAGGATGCCTACTCTTCCCACTTCTATTCAGCATTATATTGGACATCCTAGCCAGAGCATTTAGATAAGAAAAAGAAAGAAAAGGCATCCAAATCAGAAGGGGAGAAGTAAAGTTTTATTTGTTAATTATACCTTAATGAAGCTGAAAAGAAAAACAAAAATACTCCACAAATGGTCCTCATCATTAATTTCGTTAAATAGTACCTGAAAATATCAACTGTGCATCTGAGGATAGCAAAAGGATAGCAGAATTTATTCAAGAAAGCACACAGCATTTTTAGCTGCCATTACCTGTTGATCAAAACACCTGAGGAGAACAAAAACTTTCTGTGCAAGAATTGCTTCTGGTGGAGGTACTGGAATGAATGGCCATCATCGAGATAGACTTCACCCACGGCAGAACCCTGGAGAGTGAATCACAGAAACAGAACATTCTTACATAATAGCTTTCAAAGACTGGTACCCGCTAAAGGAAACAATAGATTTAAAAAGCTGTGAAAAATTATATTCAACAACAGTTTAACATTCCAGCTGTACAAAGTAGTCATACAGATGTATACACTCAATACCCATTAGTGAAATACTATGGATAAGGAGGTCACATAGGTGGAACTCAGAGTTAGGCCTTGTTGAAAGAGATTTAAACTATGAAATATGGTCAGTGGCACGTAGGTGGTTTCTCTGAAAATACTATCCTAGAATGTGACAATAGGTCAAAAAAGGTCACAGAATGAAACTAAATTTAAAAGAAAAAACTAGTATATAATAGATGAGATCAACTATCTTTAGAAGGCCCTTTCATTAAAAGAAGGGTATCTAGTTCCTACTTTCTTTTAGTAGGAGGGCCCCTTTTGCATGTCAAACAATGTCATCACTCCATAAGGCTGTTTACTGTTTTTTTTAATTTTTTAAATGAAAATTTTTTATTTTTATTTTTTTCAATTGAAATATAGTCAGTTCTAATGCGTCGATTTCTGGTGTACAGCATAATGTTCCAGTCATGCATATATATATATACGTATATTCGTTTTCATATTCTTTTTCCTTAAAGGTTATTACAAGATATTGAGTATAGTTCCCTGTGCTATACAGAAGAAATCTGTTTTTTAAATCTATTTTATATATAGTGTTCACCTTGGCAAATCTCAAACTCCTAAATTTATCCCTTCCCACTCCCTTTTCCCTGGTAACCATAAGGCTGTTTAATATTTTTGATAATGCTTGATGGGCTATGGACCTTGAGTCTCTTGAAATAAATTCCATGGCCTCACATGGGCCCGAGGCCCATAGTTTGGCCCAAGAAGACATGCCTAAATGAAACAAACAAATGGAAAAGAAAGATGTTAAGAAAAAGAAAGTTTAATTATTTTATAATATTCCCTTAAGAGTAAGGACTTATGTTTGGTCCTATAGAAGACTAAGAATTTGTGTTTGGTACTGTATTTTGTCAAATGCATAGGAGAGGACTTTGCTATAGGCCTCATTTGGCTCAAAAGATCTTCTCAAAAGGACAGATCAATTCTGGATCATTGCAGGCTTTATCCAAGGAGATTTTAGTTGTTTGAGCCAACTGATGAGAGCAGAAGTCATTGTGTGGGGCTGTGTCCCTGAAACGTTGCACAGACACAGAATCCTTTTACAGGAGAGGGAGATTCAGAGCTAATCCACATGGCAGGCTGCCTATGGTCCACTAAGCCTTCAGTCCAGTGTGATCAATGCCAGGCTGCAGAACACCAAGGGTCATGGTTCCCCAGAGGAAATTTCAACATTTCTAGTTCTTAGAGTTCCCTTAAGAACAATTCCAGGAAAGTCAGACATGATGGACAATGATTCAGAAATGATTCAAAGCTTTGATTTCCAGATAAACATCAGAAGCACCTATAACACAGATGACGGTTCACCACTTCTACATGGTGTCACACACTCAAAAGGAGACCCCTGTAAAGAGACAGAGTAGTAATAAATGAGATGTGTAAAAGTAACATTTCTCAAATACCTTAGTGCTTAGGGCCACCCGGAGTCCATATGGGGAATCAGTCATGCAGCCTGTAGATTTTCCTATAGTTGTCTTTATTGGTACCACACTTCCACCTCGCTGAAACACTGGTATCTAGAACAGAGCGACACTCTCAGAGAAGGGGTATTCATATAAGGCAATTTCAAAGTAGACTTTACAAATATTTCACTGTACAAGACTCACGTTCAAGTATAGACTCAAAGGCAAAATAAATTGTGAACACAGATGGCCAACATGGGGCCCTGGCATTAAAAGGAAGAGAGTTCAAACACGAAAAATGATTCATTTTTTAAATATATGGGGAACTTCTCACCCTTCCTCAATTGATTATCTGTTCTGCCTATCCTGTAAGTAGCCTTTCCTGCTTTGTATTTAAAATTTTCCTGTCAACAGGGCCCTGCCAAAGAGTGAATTTTTCTGTCTTTGTAAGCAGGCCCAGTTGTATTTGTGTATGTGTATATAAAAGATAGTAGTTTCCTGGTTTGGGAGAGATGACTTTTGTCCTTACTATTAGTCTTCTTGCTCCTAGCTTCCCTGGATCACCTGGATGACTAACTCAATTCTGAGGGTAAATTTGTGAAGCTTCTGCTATAGAAGCCACCAAGGGCACTTTAAATGACTGACAACAGGGCTGCAGGCACAGCCCATGCCTATGGGTCTTCTGTGATGGCATTCCCTGCAGGGAAAGCGTGGTAGGTTTCCTGCCTCCCAGTGCTACCCTCTAGAAGGAAGCTCCCTGGATCACAGGAGGGCTGTACTTTGTTCTGAGTAAGGTACAAGCAGAGAGAAGAGCAAGAATACAGCAACCCCCTGTCCCCCACAGGGGACAGGTTCCAAGTGGGCCTCAAGCCAAGGATAGAACTAAATCCTATATATACTATTGTTTTTCCCGGACTATGGGCAGGTAGCATATACAGTGTGGATATGCTGAACAAAGGGGTGATTCATGTCCTGGGCAGGATGGAGCAGGATGGCGTAAGATTTCATCACGCTATCAGAATGGCATGCAATTACTTATGAATTTGTTTATTCCTGGAATTTTCCATTTAATATTTTTGGAATGCAGTTGACCAAAGGTGACCGACACTGCAGATATCAAAACCATGGATAAGGGGACTGCTGGGTAAATTAAGCTGGGAGTGAGGGGTGAGTAGTTAAGATGTCCACCCTCTGCTTGGCTCCCAGTTGGCAGCAAGAAGCAAAGCATCTACCTCCCCGCCCTCATCAGCCACTCTCTTCTTTTTTTCTTTTCCTTCAAAGAATGAAGCACTAAGTTAGCATGGATGGGCTCTGTAGTGGGAGTCCAGCTGACCTGGGGTCTTGTCTCAGTTCTGCCACAGTCGAGACACAACCCTGGACAAGAAATTTAACTTCTCTGAACCTCAGTTTCTTTACCTGTCAGCATGAGGGATTAGAGTAGATGAATGTTAAGGTCTCTTCCAGATCTGAAAGCTGGCATCTGAAATTATTTTCTTTATAATGGAGTTCATTTTGCTGCTGAGAATTTGAAAAAATAACGTCAATATCTATTTATAAATCTTTACACTACTTAGGGCCTGTGGTGGTGGTTGTGATTCAGCTCCAGGAGCAAACCTCCCTTCAAAAGCGCAATCTGGATGGGCCACTTTATTCTAGCACCATAACTGGTAGCACTCCCTTGGGCCTAAGGTGTAACTAAGAACTTAGGTTGTTTTGACTTGGTCCTGTAAAGGATATTCTGTGTGTGTGTGGTGACCACCATGTTTACTCTCTGTTTTCAGTGTTATTATTTATCTTAGACATACAATGTAGATATACGGGAAAAGTTGTTTGTCCTTGATGTTCCATACCATGAAATCAGAGTATATGTCTTTCTTATACTCCTTTTTCTCACATTTTAACAGCTTTATTGATATAACTCACATGCTGTACAATTCACCCATTTACAGTGTACAATTAAATAGTTTTAAGTATATTCAGTCATGTAACCATCACCACAATCAATTTTAAAAGATTTTCATCAACCTAAAAAAGAAACCCTGGACCCAACAGCAGTCACTCCCCATTGCTCCCAAAACTCACTCCCTGCTTTCAGCTCTAGGCAACTACTCTGTGTCGGTCTCTACAGGTATGTGTTACAGTGCAGGACACTAAGATCCTTGGTTCTTTCTATGTAGGCACATGGTATGGACTGAAAGTGTCCCCCTAGAATTCATATATTCATATATTGAAGCCTCTACCCTCAGTGTGACTGTACTTGGAGACAGGGCCTTTACAGAGGTAATTAAGGTCATAAGAGTGGGGCCCTGATCCAAAGGATCAGTGCCCTTATAAGAGACACAAGGGAGCTCATTCTCTTCCTCTACCATGTGAGGACACAGCAAGAAGGTGGCTGTCTACATGCCAGAGAGAGAGTCCTCACCAGGAACCCCAATTGGTTGGCACCTTGATTTGGGACTTCTAGCCTCCAGAACTTGTGAGAAATTAAATTTCTGTTGTTTAAGCCAGCCAGTCTACGGTATTTAGTCGTGGAAGCCCGAGGAGACTAATATAGCATAACAGGTAAAAATAACAATCTGAAAATAACTCACAGTGTCCAAGGATACTGGGATCTTTACAGTACATGCTCCTTTCCAATGAGAAAACGTCTTCGAGTCATACCAGACCTGAAAAGAAACAGAATTTAATGAAAAAGGGTGTGTAAGCAATTCTGCTTACAATTTCATTATTCAATAAAACATCCATTTATCTGGATTGCAAATACCAGAAAGCTAAAATAAGTATAATTTTTAAAAAAATCTTGAGTAGAAGTTAGGAAGAACATATGCTTTTAAAAGGATCCCAAAGGACTAAACTAGTACTGTGATGGGTTAAGCTGACTAAAAGGCCATTCATTTTTCCATCCATCCATCCAGAAGTTACTTACTGAACAACCTACTATGTGCCCAGCACTGCTGGGTACACATGAGTGAACAAAAAGTCATAGTTCCTGCCCTCATGGATTTTATAGTCCAGTTGGATTATATAAATTTAATAACGTAGTAGTGAAAAAGATGACAGAAGAGAGAAAACAACAACAAAGCAGAAAAGCACACTGCAAACAAATCAATTATACATGAGGCAGGAGAAAAGAAAGTGTCAGACAAGGAAACAAATCTCAGAGAAAAACAAATGGAAACTTGGATTACTCAGATAGTGTCATTTTTTTTAACAGACCACAATTTAGGGATGACGTTCAAACTCATCTAAAATGTTTGTCAATGGGGTTTACTTGCTGGTGTGCCAGAGAAGTCCTACAAAGTAATTTGATGGGGTAAATCCTTAAGATACTATCAGTACATCTTTCAAAATTCATCAAAGTGTACATCTGACATATGTGTACTTTACTGTACAGGAACCATACCACAATAAAGGTGATTGTTTTTTCTTTAAGAAGATACCATCAGAAGCAGCATAAAAACAAAAACTTTCTCTCTTCTAGTCCAATATAATTTCTGGCAGCCAGTGCCTATTTTACAAGTTCATCTCCTCAGATTACCACATCCTTTATACATCTGGGCTGTTGAATCTGTCACTGTCCTTCTGTGAATGTGACAGGGCTGTGACTTGACTATTGTTAGCTAGTCATGAAGTATTATCTTTGGCCAGATTCAATTTGCTAATGTTTTGTCAAAGATTCCTGTGTCTGTGTTTATAAGGGATGTTGTCTTGGCTTTCTTTTCTTGTAATGTCTTTCTTTAGTGTCTTTGAGTAGCATTAGATAAAGAGCTGGTGGGAGTGAAAGGTCAAAAAAAAAAAGGATTCAAAGAAGATTTGGGGATTTCCTGTCTACCATTTCCAGCACTAACTGCAATGAGAGGTATAGGGTATGCTCTCTGATGCCATATTCAAAGACTCCCCAGCCTAGGAAGGGTATAACTTGTACAAAACGCCATGGAGATCAGACCCAGAGCTTAGTCAGTCACCAAGCTCCTCACCCAGCAAGTACTTATAGAAGGCCTACTGTGTGCCAAGTACCATCTAGATGCTGGGGATACAGCAGTGACCATAACAGATAAAAATCACTACCTTCAAGAAGCTAACAATTCTAATGGCTGAGATAAATAGTAAACAAAACATAAAAGTAAATATATAGCATGTTAAAGATGGCACATTCTGTGGAGAAAAATGGATGAAGGAGGGCTGGGCAGTACGGGGACTGTGGGAGTGGCTTGTAATCTTAAAGAGGTGGTCAGAGAAGGCCTCAGGGAGAAGGAGACTTTCAGAAGAGGAACTGGGCCATACAGAAATATGGGGAGAGTGACAGTGAGGGAGTTTAGACGGCTCCCTTGCACAGAGGGATGTGGTACTAGCTAACCATCCAGGTAGAGCTCTGGCAGGAAGCGGCCTGGATCTCCTACCCAGGCTTTGGGAAGATGTAGCAAGAGAATCAATCACAGAGCACGCTGGGAAGCTGTGGAAGGAACGCGTCATACAGTCACAACAATGCACTTGCAGTGATAATAGGTCATTAATAGAAATTTGTGGCTAGGTCTTAAAGGGAGCTAGTTCCTCTTAATGGGAACCTATGCTTTGTTAGAATCAACTTAAGAAACTCTCAACAGAAATGCTTGGCAGGACAATTTATTTACCTGTTGTTATATTTAATCTTTTTCTTAGGTTTCTGCTTGGCAGGGGAACCTTTGTAAAGAGCCCTCACCTTCAGAACTACAAATTACTATAGAAATCAAGCAGAAAGAACATCATTTGTGAACATTCTGTAGAAAAACTTGGTTATTGTCATATCAATAATGACAAGTGTAGTGGGCTAAATGGTGGGCCCCCCCAAAGATATTTTCCACTTTCTAATCCCTGGGAGGAGTGAACATTACCTTCTGCAGTAACAGATTTGACTAAATTAAGGATCTCGAGATAAGATTATCTGGGATTATCCAGATAGGCCCTAAATATCATCACAAGCGTCTTGTAAGAGAGAGATGGGAGAGGAGACAGATGCACAGAGAAGGCGCAGTGAAGACAGAGGCACACACTGCAGTGATGCAGCTACAAGCCAAGGACACCGAGGACTGCAGGCAGCCACCAGAAGCTAGGGGACAGGTAGGGGACAGACTGTCCCTCAGAACCTCCAGAAGGAACCAGCCCTGCTGACTCCATGATTTCGGACTTCAAGCCTCTGAAACTGTGAGAGAATACATTTTTGTCATTTTAAGCCAAGTTTGAAGGGAAGCCACCAAGAATGAAGGGAAGAGATATAACAGGTGTAAGGCATGTAGCTGTCTGTCATTTACTTTTACCTCATTTGATCCTGGCAGAAACACATCAACCACAGTGGCTTTTGGTTCTGTGACTGGATGAACCAATAAAGCACTTCCTGAAAAACAGGGAAGAAATGAAGTTGAATATTATTATAAGAGGTCTGAAGACATCCCTTCTCTCTAATTGAGTGCTTTTGTGGTTTCAAAGACCACTTGACTGAACTTCTTGAAGGTACAAATCTTGGTGAGTTGACCCAATAATTCATCAGAGAGATGCACTGTTAGTTAGAAAGAGGACAGGTGCTCAAAGAGGTGACTATCCCTAGTCCCCTTATGGTGCATTAGGCTAATGGGGAGGGACCCTGACACAGCCTAGTACAGTCTCATTTTGTGCTTAATTGTAGTCTGAAAGCACACTGCACTTCTCCAAGTGCTTTGTCATTTGCTGTAAGTGACTTTGAAGACAGTGAGCCTACAACTGTGACCAGCAGTGTGGTCAGTGTAGATATGCAGGTCCTCTTTCTCGGGCAGGTATCATCAGGAAGCCTGTAATTCTCTTAAAAGCAATCTGGATATTTATTTCATGTTGATCTTGGCACCACCATATGTAAAATTCATCCATTTATGAATTTGCTCTTTAATCCAACAAATATTTATTGAGTTCTTGCTGAGTGCCAGGCACTGTGCTAGTCTCTGGGAATGTAGTGGCAAGTAAGACATACTGGGTCCTGGCCCTCATAAAGTTTACAGTCAGTAAAGACAGCTATTAAACAAGTAATTACAAATTAATTGGAATTAAGACAAATACCAAAAAGGCAAAAGTACAAAATGGAATGAAAGTTATATATTAAGAGGGACTGACTTTGACTAAGGTAGATGGCATTAGGTATTAGGAAGCAAGTTTGGTCATGGAAGTCTTCTCCAGGGAAGTGGCTTTTTAAACTGAGACCTAAGGAGATAGGTTTTTTACATTTTGGGGGTTCCACTTTCTAGAAACAGGATTCTTTTGAGCAACTGTCTGTTGAGCCTGGCTTCCTGATTCTTACTCCCCAAATGATAAACTTCTGTGTTCCAGATTTGGTTAACCCTTGTTAAAGAAGAGGCCAACCAAAAATACACAAAAACAAAAAACACAACACAACAACAACAACAACAACAACTCTATTTTGCAGATGAAATAAGCTCTTCTAGGTTTCTACTATAGCCATCGGGTTTACTTTTTTCCTACTTCCCTTCCTTGTGATAGTATCGTAAGGCTTAGGAGTGGACCCAGAACAGGAATCCCAAATTGCATTCATAAATAGAATATGTTTATACAAAGTTAATATATTATGAGAAGCGCTACATGACAAGAGAACAGAGCTGTGATCCCACTGATACACTAAAAATCTTGGTGATGGAATTTCTTTTATTTTTGCTTTTTGCATTCTTGAGATTAAGGGATTTTTTTTTTTAGTGCTAAGAGCACACTAGAAAATAAAATAAGAAAAATGTAATTACAGTATTTAGCAGAGCTATAGTCAATCAAGAAATGCTCACCCAACATGTATTCATCTTCCACACCAAAAGTCTCTAATTCACCAGGAAACTCTATCCATAGAGGTCTGGGGAAAGGAAAAAAAGAAATTTCTTCCTTCAGCATCATTCAGTGTTTTATTATAATTCAATTAGTTATATGATTTTCAGTTTTATAATTATTCAAAGGAAATCAGAAAAGGCCAGGAATCATTTCATATAATATGAGATTTTTTTGAGCACTTATGATTACTACATATTTTTCTTATGTGAAAGAACTATCTATTAGCTTCAATGGTCCAATGAAAGAGCGAGAATTCTGGTATCTGAAATTTCCCCTTCTCATTGTTGAACACTGCATACTACTCTGACGGCCAGAATCAGAGCTTTGTCCAAGTCCAAATGCCTAACACATTTGGTGTAAAACAAATCAAATGTTTGTGCCATTTTTTCTTGCATCCTTAACATTACCTAGTTAAATGAAAAGAATTGGTTTTTCTTATTTTCAAGTTGCACTTATAAGAATAATAAAACTTTCAATATCTGGATATTAACTTAATGATTCTAATAATTATTTTCAATTTCATGAGGAAAAGATATTTTTTAATAAGATAAATTAATTTTTAGTTTATTCACTAGCCTTTGTAATAACCTACTCCTTTTTCTACTAAACAGTAACAAAGCAGAGGTCTCTAAACCTGGCTGATGCCTAAAATCACCAGGGAAACTTCTATGAAATATAGATCCCTGGAACTTAACCGAGGGATTCCTAGTAGGTTTGGAGGTGTGGCCTCTGTAGCTGTAAAAAGCTCCCCAGGTGATTCTGATCTGAGCCAAGTTGAGGAACCGCTGATCTAGAAGCCTTGATGCACTATGTGTGTCTCTGCACCGTTCTCTAACCCAGAAAGTTGGTATTCACATTCTGCCTTCAAAATAGAATCAGAATATAATTTCTATGCCAGGAAAAGTCCTAAAGGTGAGACAGAGCTAAGACTGGCAGAATAAGCTGTTCTTCTTGAGAGGATGCTTGTGGGGTATGGGGGATAAACAAACAACTTTCCTCCACTCTTCTAGGTTCTTCTGGCTGGTCTAAGAATTAAACTGACTTGAGACAGATGAATAAGAGAAAATCAAATTTAATTGTGTACATAAAGGAATTCCATAAAAATATGATGCCTAAGGACAAGATAGGCAATTGAGGCTTATATGTCATCTGAGAGAATAAAGGTGTTGAGTTTGGGACTTGAAAGGGGAGGAAGGATATTCACTTGGAGACAGAGAAACAAATGTGTGGTAAACAAATGTTTGCTGGGTCATGCAGAGACAATGGGACACTGAGAGGACTTTGGTCCCCACATTCCTCCTATCATGCTTAGCTCGCATTCTTTGTAGATATCGCTGGTGATAATGCACTTCCTGGACCAGGCCCTTTATCTAAATTCTTTAAGGCAGTTAAGGGGGAGGTAAAAAGAAAGACTTCGTAAGCCTTTTGTTTCTTAAAAACAATCAGCCTCAAACAATCCTCAAGCTGAACAGATGCATTTTGGGGTGGCAAGTTTTGTTCCCCTACATGGATTAAATATGGGATAAATTCAGTTACAAAGCCACTTCCTTTTTCTTTGAAAAATCTCTATTTCTGTTTCCTACCAAATATTAACACTTGAATTACCAAGTTTGCAAGAAACCTAGTTTTTATCTTCTGTGACCTCCAGTGCCTAACCCTGCTCAAAACTGGTGCTCAATAAGCTGATTGCCACTTGATAACACCTGGCTTTCCTCTTGAAATCACCGTAATTACTCCATTTCCAGTGGCTGAGGAGATCCTCAGGTAGAAACTGGTTGCTGGGGCCCCTGACTGCTGAAGCCTGTTTACCTCATGATGGGTTGGGAAGCCACGTGTGCAAAGTAGAACAGAGAATACCAATAGGGCAGGAGGGCATAGCGCTCTCTGATGGCTTCGCGGATGAGCCGGGTGTGCTCCTCCCCAAAGAGCCAGGGTTCCCGTCGCCTGGTGTTCTTGGTGGCATGGCTGCGGAAGAAGGGCTGGTAGGCTCCGGCCTGGTACCATCGCACTAGCAGCTCTGCCTCTGGGTTCCCGATGAAGCCGCCGACGTCAGCTGATTAGTTTGTGAAGAAAGGTGAGTCAGACAGCCAGGCTTCTAACAAATGCAGCACACAGGTAAGATAAGGCCTTGAAGACTGACAGGGCAAATGTGCTCTAGGTGCACCCAAAATGACAGCATGAAACTGTGGCCTCAAACTAGGGAGCACATACTAAAAAACTCAGCCTGGGGATCAGACAGTATGCTCTTTGAATATTCTTTTCCTGTCCAAATGTCAGAGGCTTTACTTCAAGATCAACATTTCTGAATGTCCTGAACCCAGGTAACCCGGAAATTGCAAAATGTCTTCAGTGGTTTTGTCACTTGTCTTCAGTGGTGGGGTGGGAGGCTGGCAATTGATTTAGTTTGAAAACAACTGAAGCAAGATAAAAATTATAGAAAGAACTAAAGAGAAACATATAATCAATCAGAATAGAGGTTTAAGTAGAATTTCATGCTTAGCCCTTAAGCAGGGTGCATATTCTTTGTGTTGTATGTGGACCAATGCCGTAAAGAAACATATCTATCAGAAAGTGACATTAAGGTGGTTCTAGTCCCACAGAGAACAAGTTGCAGCTGAACCTGTAGTCATGCTGAGTACCTTCCACAGAGATCTCTCAGCTACAGGGAATTATTAGGATTTGGGGGAAGGCAGCCCATCAGAGAATCTTATTTTAACTAAATTTATCTTTCCCAAACTTATATATAGATTTTTTTTAACAGTTAAAATATGTCACAGGATTTCTGTAAGGCTGATTTCTGATTTGCCAAATTCTTTGCAGTTCTCTCCATTTTTCTCACTTTCAGGTAGAAAACGCATGTTTCAGGAAGAGAAACTCAGTTGTCAAGGGTATCTAAGGAGGGTGTGGTTAAGAGAATGAGGGAAAGAAACATTCCGGCTCCCTTTCTGACGACTTTATTTCATGTCCTCAGTTCAGCAAAGACACACACAGCTCTGAAGCATCCCTTTCACTCTCCTCTCTAACCTGCTCTCCTTAAGGTTTCTCATTTTCTCTTCCCCGTTTATCCACGTTTATCCTTGTCGAAATCAGCTAACAAGAAGGGATTTGTGACCGGCTTTGATGAAAACACCCTCCCTTTTGACTTTCATTTCAAGCCTGAGGATACCACCTTACCTCCACAAAAAGAGATCCCAGTAATGCTGAGGGTCAGTAACATAGGGACAGAAATTTTCAGATAACTCCATTCTGCTGTGTTGTCACCTGTCCACACAGCACCTTTGGTCACCAGGAAGAAGGTGTTAAAAGAAAAAAAAACCCAACAAATCAGCCCATATCCTGAATTTCATATTTAGATTTCTTATTTGTAATAGGCAAACTAATATAAAGGAAAACATTTCTTACCCTAAAATATACACATTCTGTTTTTCTATAGTAAAACTGTATTAATTTTCTAATGTGAAAAAGTCACTAAAATCCACAAAATATTTTATGAAAAGATTCTGAAATTGCACTTATTTTTTAACATTTTTTATTGATTTATAATCATTTTACAATGTTGTGTCAAATT